AATCTAGTAGCTCCTACTCAGCGGGATGTGGGCCCAGTAGCTCCAGACCCCTGGCGTGTGGGGTCCCTGGGTTCCCCTCTCTGAGCCTCGGCTCTGGAGTCTGCCGCCCAGTCTCTCTGACTTCCGGCACCTGCCAGTCGCCTTGTTAAGCAACCACCTGTGGATCTGGCTTCTACTCACCTGTGGATCTGGCTTCTACTCACCTGTGGATCTGGCTTCTACTCACCATCTAATTGTCTACACTTATCATTCAACATCTTTATTGCCTCTCTTATAGCCTTATTATCTTCCTCACCTACAGAAAGAATTATCATCTGAAATCTGATAATCATATTCTTCATTATCTCTAGACCCAAATACAGACTACAGAGTTCATCTGAAAATTTCTACTATTAATTTAATGACTCAAAATGAAGAGAGTATGTGTATTGGAAATTGAATATATGTATTTGGATTCTAATATTGAGAAATGTTATGTCACTTTAATCTAGTAAATTTATCTAAAGCAATATCCAACTGATTTTATATTTTTTTTGTGTTAGTTGTTTATTGACTAAGGTTTGGGTGTGATAGGAAAAATAATATTACGAAATCACCAATATGCACATGGAAATAGATGGATCACCTAAGAAGTTAGTGACTGAACTAATTTGGACAGAAGTTAAATAGTTTTATACTCAAAGTCTAAAGTAAGACAATTGATAAAATGTACAGATTTTATAAGTTAAAATTTAAATCAAGAACTAAATATATAGTCCTACCATATGGGACCTTGTGTGTACTCCCATGGGTATAAAGTAGCAGACTTTTGACAATTACATCAATAATTCAGAAAGCAAAAATCATATTTACAGATATCCTGTTAGGATAATGCATGGAGGAAAAATGAATAGTGGTTGTCGTATTCAATGGAAGTGATCAGATCATCTATGATTTAAGATAACTTTGTTGAAGTTCCCAATATTTGTTGGTAAAGGTATCAAGTACCTGAATTTCTCCGATGAGAATTCAACCTGACAACTTCTTTACATGTGCAATGGTAACTCCATGAAACTGTAGTCAAGTTCTAAGATTAGCAGGTTTATCTTCACCTTGTTTTAATCATGTATCAAGCAAAAAAAAAAACTGAATAAAAAAGCTTTAAATATCACCAGAATGATGATTTGATGTGCATATCAGCAAAAAATGAGAGGAGACAAGAAAAGAGTGGGGAGAGGGCAGGGGGTGTATGCTAAAGGACCACAGTGTGTTCCTGGGGTGAGGTGTTCCTGGGGTGGGGTGGTGGTGTGTAATTTACATTTGAGGAGCTGAGAACCTATTCTGGTGAATCATATGTAGGAGTATAAACCTATGTTACCAAACAAATGAAGCAAACAAATAAAAATTAATCAGACACAGTTAAAGAGAAAATTGGTGACTGTGAGTCTGTGAGTGGAATATACTCAAATGAATAATAAAGAAATCTATGAGGATACAGAGAATTTGGAGCATGGAGAACACAGAAATATCTGACAAAACTGAAACTGGATTACGGGTGTGAATACACTTCCAAGTGTATAGAGATAGATGACAATAGGTATATATTTGAATGTTAACAGCTACTAGTATGTTATAACCAAAATAAAAATAAATAAATAAAAAGCTATCACCAAATCAAAGA